CAGTTAAAAGTTGGGTTTAGGGAATTGTTTAATTTATGATTTCAGATGATTATGCCAGAGAACTTAAATACTTAGGATGGAAAACTAAAGAACTCTACTTCCAAGTTGGCAAGTAACTTCCCAATCATTCAGTTTTTTTCCACCAATTTTGAATTGGGTAGCCTGGGAAAATGTCACTGTGGGTACCAGTGCATTAATTTGGACAAGGATAGTAAATCATAGTATGGTATCTGTTGACAAAACAAGTTGTAAAGATATAAAATTTTGTGAATTGTATCTTAAACTTGTATCATAATTTTCAACATCCGAACCTGAAAATTATGACTATGGTTAAAATGCCTTAGGCCTGAGGTGTCTGCTTAGAATAGCAGTTTTTCCCTGCTCCTTCCAGACCTCAGCCAGGACTTATGTTGAAATGCAAATGAAAGAAGTCTGCAAACTCAGTAGGAGACTGATCTGAGGCCTAAAAAAAAAAAAAAGTAAATTGTATGGCATTTACTAATTACTAGCCAGTCATGTTTTCTAGGACTCTTGTTTTTTTTCTTAGATTCTGAATTTTTTTTCAGCTCATGATTTTGATCCTACAGACCTGGGTTCATGTTTTTTGATCACTTCTATCTTTGACCAACTGTGGAGTTTTTGAAAGATTGCAATGGAGATTTCACCTGTGAAAAGCTACAAGGCCTTTTCTATTGTTATGTTTAATTTGATTTTAATTGGAGTCAGTGATCTTTTCTTGAGTCCTGTTCTAACACTCTCCCAGCAGAGACTCACATCTGGTCATCTCATCTGTCGCCTCATTCAAGTCCAACGCAACCTTCCAAGTGAGGTTTCTCATCACCAGTTTAGAGACGCTCGTCTCCATACTTATTTACTCATAGCAGTGATCAAGATGGACCTGCTCTTCGTGCGGCTCGTGTGTGCATATGGTATGGATTTCTAACATATCAGGAAATCAACATTCTTTAAAAATTGCCTAAGTCTTCATGTTTCAAAGAGTGACAGACATATTGTATATACTCAATAAATAATTACTGAAGGGATTTATGGAAAAACAAGGAGTGTACTAACAACATGGCCATTTTACAGGTGAGAAAAGAAAGTCCTGGGTGGGCTGCCCAGCGAGAAAGCGATGGACGCAGAAACTACGTCCCCCATGTTGATGGGGAAGTCATGAGCACAGCATTATTTTATGTATCCCATAAATTAATTTTGAAATGGTAGGGCAACATGTTAGTTAAATTAGTATGACCTTTAGACTGCATACTAGTCTATTAATTGATATAGATTATATAAATACAAATAGCATAACTCAACTCGAATGAATATAAGTAATAGAGCAGATTGTCTGGTATGTACCTGGTATCCTGTAGATGTTACTCTCATGTTCATCATTATCTTCCTGGTTAGAATAGTTGTTTTTTTTTAGTGGTCAATGGACTTTATTTTATTTATTCATATGCGGTGCTGAGAATGGAACCCAGTGCCTCCCACGTGCTAGGCAAGTGCTCTACCACGAGCCCCAGCTCCAGCCTTAGGTGAGTTTTTGTGGATTTTCTCTGCTCATGTGTTGCCCAGAACATGACTGGCTACTGATGATCCAGAAAGAGGTCCTCCTTCCTAGAATTTTGGTAAATTTAATGTATGGCTTCCCACCCTGAAGCATCAGACCCCGAGGACTTCACAAGCAAGGTGATTGCTGGGCGTGACTCCACCCTGGCTTGTACCTGTGAAAGCTTTTCCACGATAGACCTTGTGAGGAACAGGGTGAAGGAAAGTTCCAAACCACACGTGCTGCACACAGCCGGCGCTTATCTCAGTGCTGCAAACAGAACCTTCCAGGAAAGCTCTGACTCCAGGAGGGAAGTTGGACATCAGCAGGGGAAGCACCTGCGTGTTGTGGTGAGGCTCCTGCTTGCTGGACGCAGGGCGCCTGCTGATCCTGGAGCAGGATGAGGAGTGGGCTGCTGGGGTCGGCTGCTCGGGGTCTGCTCACTGGTGGTTTGACGACTCCGCGGGTTACTTTTCCTTTATCTCACTGTGCTGGTCAGTCAGAGGAGAACCCCGTATTTCACTTCCTGTGCCCCGTGTGTCTGACCAATGCTAATTTGAAATCCTGCGTATCCTGCACGCATCAATTTCTGTTTTTCCTCAATCCTCAGCTGTCAGAAGTCTTACTCCAAATTCTTGGGCGAGGGCTGCCATACCTACACCACCGACGGGGTGGCCGGCAGGGTGGGGTGCTCTTCAAGGAGTGGAGGCTGGAAGTCTGGACGAAGGTTCTGGAAACTTCCTTCTAAGGGTTTCTGGGAGGATTCGTTCCAGGCCTTTCTTCTTGGTGGGGAGATGGTCGTCTTCTTCCTGGGTCTTCAGATTGACCTCCTTCCATGTCTCTGTCCAAATGTCCTCTTCTGAAGGCACGAGTCACAGTGGACCATGGCCCAGTGTAATGGCCTCTTTTTGACCCAGACACCTGGGAAAGGCCCTGTCTCCAGAGGCAACCGCATTCTGAGGTCCTGGGGGCCGGAGCCGACTTTGACTGTGATGTGACAATGGTGTGATGTTTTCAGGAAAGCCCACCGAGCTAAGGGTCTTTTTATCATGTTTACTCTTCTGTGTTAACGACTTGAGCGATTTTGATATTCTGATCAACGGACGTTTGGATGTTATAATGCGGTGGGTAAAGTGTCTCTACCCATGTTCGTGACTGCACTTTAAACTATTTTTTTTAAAAAGTCAACATATGCTTTTATTGATGCCTTTCTGTTGATTTAGCAAAAAATTATTGTAACGTGCCTATTCTGTGATATGTAATAACCAGAGATAGGAATGTCCAGAAATACCCAATAATACAATGGTTCCAGGGTCAATAGTAATAACCAGAGATAATAATAACCACAATTGTCTGGGGAAAATAGGATAGCTGAGGTGTGGAAGTGTCCACCAAAGCCAGAGGTTGGCGACCTTGGCCACTGGGAGGAACCCTGGGTGAAGCCAGGAGGATGTGGATCTGGTGGGAGGGTTTGGGCCATGGGGAAGGCCCTGAGGGCCACATGGGTTCCTGAAGCTCCAGTCTCCCTCTCTGTACACCCAGACCACCAGGAGCGGAGCAGCCCCCAGCCCCAAACAAACTCTTCCTCCTGGAAAGTCGTCTCAGGTCCTTGGTGGCCCATGCCAAGCTGACTAATGGGACAATGATGGCTCCTGTCTACCAGGGTATCAGCACCAGGGGAGATTCTCCGGGGCTGGGCTTGGGATTGTGGTACTAGAAAGCCATGCTAAAGTTTGATGAAGTCTCCTAGTACAGGCATTTGGACAGTCCTTTCTGCCAAGTTTTTGCAATCCTCTTTCCATCATAATATGAAATAGTTAGCAAAGTAATTTTTCTTGATAAGGAAAAAATACGGCATCAGCTGATATGTTTCATAGCAAGAACCATTTTAAGTTATTTGTTGGGTGAAACTCTCCTGGCATTATAAAACGTTCAGCATCTGGCTCTTAGATGATAAATTTTGTTAGCACACAGTCATGTCTCTTTAAATTTTCACCCAGAAATTTTATTTATTTATTTTGTAATATTGGAGATTAAATACAGGAGCAGTTGACAACTGAGCTACACCCCTAACCCTTTTAAACTTTGAGACCGGACCTGGCTAAGTTGTCCAGGCTGGCCTCAAATTTTTGATCCTCCTGCCTTAGCCTCCCAGATTGCTGGGATTACAGAAGTGAACCACCATGCCCAGCCAGGTGGGAACTCTTTGCTACCCTCCCAGTCTGCCAAGGGTTCTCTTTCTGTCCAAGTAAATGCAAGATGCTGGCCTCTCAGAAAGCTAATGTTATCTCTATCCCTCTTCTTTCTCAGGGTCAAGTCTCTTCCCAGTCCTTCTTAGTATTCCCAACCCAGTTCAAAATGCGGAGGATACTAAATGGGTCTTCAAGCTCAGGGGTTGTAGGAGTGCTAGTGTGCCTGAAGACTCCATAAAGTTGCTAGCCCATTCATTTGCTCCTCACCTGTGGATTCTGGTAGCCTGAGAACCTGTACCAGTGAGTGTAGTTGGGTATGGATGGATGAATCCAGAGACTATATCCTGGGCAAATACTTCCATGGGACAGTTTGGTCAAAGTCTGTAATGTATATGTCAGCATTTCTGCAAAACATTTTTCAGAATATTTTCATTTTCTGCTTTTTAATTTCTATTTCAAATTGTTTTTTCCTCCTGCTTTCTGGGGTTAGCATGAAAAGCAAAATTAGATAATTTACTGGTAAATCGACTAAAATTTGGTTAATTAGATTTAATAGGCAATAAAATGTATGAAAGGAGGGGAAAAATGTAACATATTTATCACCTGACCCTTGGTGACTTAAATTAAGTGTCACACTGCCAATTCTTAGCTCTGCCAGAGCAAGGAGTTTTCACCACCAAAAAGGGATAAGAATGTGAGGTGATAGATTTAATTAGTTTGATTTAATCACAATGTAAATAAATATCAAAATATATTGTATCCCATACGTAGATAATATGTAGAATTGTTATTTGGATCAATTTTTTAATAGTTACTTTCTTTAAAAATACCGATAGCAAGGCTGGACATACATATTGGGACGTAAGTACAGGGTCCACGCCCTCAGGAGGTAAAATCCAGTCCTGGGAGCTCGCCTTCGCGATCATACCAGTGACCCTTCCAGAGCACCCTCTTCGCAATCAGGCCGGAAGCTTTGGGAAACTGGGTATTTTCTGGACCTCCTAGGACACATCGGACACGTGCTTTTCTCAAACGTCTGGGCCAGAGCAACACGTCTTTGCATCTGCGTAATGCTAGCATAGAGAGAACAAAAATCTCAGGGATCCGGTGCACGGTGGTCCTTACAACTGGCGTCGAATCCCGGGAGAATTTCGGGCGCGGGCCTACTTTTCCCACAAGCCACCACGGCCAGAGCTAAGCGGACTTGAACTACATTTCCCAGCGGGCAATGGGCACGCTCAATCTATGGCTTCGCTTCCGTTTTTGCTTGGTTCTTGTGCTTCGCAAGGTGAGTTGATTTCATCCCAGGATATTTATAGGCCAAGAGTGCTCTCGGTCAGGAGCCTGGGAAACCGGATTAAATTGGAGTCTGGCCTGAATCGGCCGGAGTGGCAGAGGAAGCCCTTAAAGCGTGCAAGTCCATAACGTAGTCGGCCTGTTGCCGGAGTCTCAGGCCCGCGGGTGCGTGACGGCAAAGCAGCATGGTTGTCTGTGTGTCTTGATGCGGAATGTGTGAGCGCCTCTCTGTGTATGTGAGAGAGACTGCCTGGGAGGGAGATGGGACGTGCCACTTAACTGTAAGGACGGCCGAGAGGCCCCGACAGGTGCGTGGCTGCGCTCGCGTCACAGGCACGTGGGCGGCACGTCCCTCCGGTGTGCGTCACTAGCTGAGTTCTACGGGTTACTATGACCCGCCGGAGGTTCTCTTCGGCTTCCTCCGCCCCCTCTCCTCAGAGCTATTTGGGTCTGACACAGAAATGCCTCAGCGAGGGACATTGGATACTGAAACCTAAGCGAAGTTTTCCAGCAAGGAGGCTTTGACGTGCTCCTGGACTGGGGATGCCCGGGACGTTCTTTCTTTGGGATCTCTGAGGGTAGTTAGGGTGAGCAGGACAGGTGTGGACCTGGCGAGGAGTCACCTAAGTCATTCTGTGATCCTCAAAGGCCGGATAATCATGACTCCCTTGTCCCTCCCTGGCCCTGCCATTCCCCAAAAGGAGCCTGATGAGGTGTAAAGAATTGTTTCACTTCCAAAAATCAACGTTTAGACTAGTTTTCTTTTTTTTCTTCTTAAAATTATTGGGTTTAGGGTATGCTTTCCTTATTCGGAAATATGTGGGAGGTATATTAATCTTGATCTATCCCCTCCCCCCAGTGGATATTGGGTGCCATTGAGATAAATATCGCAGACATTCTCACTTGGCATATCATTCTGATCCTTCCATGTTTTCTTATTGTAAGCAGATCTAAAAAAGACAGTCTCTTGGTAGCTCAGACCTGTAATCCTAGAGGCTCGGGAGGCTGAGAGGCAGGAGAATCACAAGTTCAAAGCCAGCCTCAGCCATTTAGCAAGGTCTTAAGCAACTTAGTGAGACCCTATCTCAAAATAAAAGAAAAAGAGGGGATTGCTGGGGTTGTGGCTTAGTGGTAGAGCTGCTTGCCTAGCACGCGTGTTGCACTAGGTTCGATCCTCAGCACCACATAAAAATAAATAAAATAAAGATATACACACACGCATATAAAGGGCTGGAGATGTGGTTCAGTGCTTAAGCGCCCCTGGATTCAACCCCTGATATCAAGAATGAATGAATGAATGAATAGAAATATAAAGGGTTGGGGATGTAGCTCAGTGGTTAAACTCTTGGGTTCCATCCCCGCCAACTGTCCCCCCAAACAAAACAAAAAGCTTTAGACTCTTGTGATCCAGAGTCAAGGACAACAATTTTCTTGTTGTGATTATGTGCAAAATTTGTGCTTAGGATTATTTTAATGATTAATGATAAACCCATGTGGTTAAGTATTATGCAGCTAGTAAATTTTATACAGCATTTAGATGTATGAAGGAAAATATATAGTACATAATGTTAAAAGCAATAGTCAAATTTATAAGTAATAGTACTCAAAAATTAAAATTATATATCAATCCCATTTAAAAAGGTGGTTTTGCAAGGATTGAATCCAAATCACATTTTTGGATTTAAATTTTTTTTTCCAAATAACATTTTAATTATTTTATTAAAGTAGGGGAGTGATGTGGCTACATTTTATTACCCAATTATTTTGTCCTTCTGCTTTTCATACATTCTTTGATTCAATCTGAAAAAGCATGTTTAAAAAAAATTTCTATACTATTACCTTAAAATAAATTCCTAGAAGTAGAATTTGAATTAATATAATCAAACCTTTACTAATTGCCAGTCATACAGTCTTAGTATTGGGGGTGATAAAGAGACTAAAATTGCCCTTCTTTTGCTTCTAGTAAGAAAGGTCACACCTGAATGGGAATAAATGCATTAAAGCCATTATAGAGATTCAGGTAAAATGTAGGTTGTTTTAAAAAAATAAACAATCCTTGGAGAGGCCTTAAGGGTTTAGTGGCACTCTGTAGGGCTGGATATGTGGCTTAGTGGTTAAGCACCCCTGGGTTCAATCCTGGTATCAATCAATCAATGAACTTCCCACTTTCTTGGAGCAGCTTTCCCTTCACACACATTCACCTACATATATATTTTAAGTAAAGGCATGGACACTGCATGAGCAGACAAAAAAAAAAAAGTACTTTCAACTGTATGAGCGTATAACTTTCTAAAGCTTTTTCATCTGATGTCTGTCAGTTTTTCACATAGATGTTACAAATAGTATCATTTGTACATGTAGTTTTGTAACCTCATTTTCCCACTGACAGTATTCCTAGAATATTTCCGTGGTCCTTAGTATTTTCCCTGCGTAACACTTCTTACATGAATATTTTATAATTTATTAAGCATTTCTTCCAGAAGTAGAATGTGGAACATTGCCTGAACAATTTTGTGTCCTTTCTATTCTGCAACCTTGTTCAACCTCATCTGAAGTCAAGGCCATAAAGTAAGATGTGGTTTGGATGGTGTGGCTCCTTTTCAGCCCTGCAAAGTATGAATGAAAGGAGGAGGATCTGTTCAGGATAAGACTGAGCAGCCTAATCTCAGGCATAAAGCAGGTTCCCCCAAAGGAAGAACTCTAGAAAATTGCCTACTAGTTTTCCTGGGGATTAGGGAAGAATTTAGATTTAACTAAAACTCTTCTAATCCTTTCAAATTATGTGTTTATGGTATGTAGTTGTATTCAAATTGGAATGAACAGCAAAACATTTAATTTTCTAGGTAGTAACACTAAACTGTGTCTATTTTCTTGGTGTCCTCTTCTGTTCACAGCTCTGGATGCTGTTTATTTTCCCACAGAGGAACTTCAGGAGGACTTACTAGTTTAAAAGTGAAACCATGGCATGTGTAAGTTGGTGTTTCCTTCTCAATGAAATATGTTATGTAAAATCTTTTCAATTAATTATTTTGAAAAGTTCTACCTGTACCCATTTAATTATCAATTCACCTGTTCCTCCTTTACCAGTGAACAGTGGATCCAAATAACCTAGGTACCCTTTGTGGCCCACTCTTCTCTAACCAGTGTTTATATATTTGAATGGATTATTCATTATCTCTTATGTACCAAATCATATATTAAGATCAATGATAGAACAGTGAAGAAGTCAAGTCCCAGAAAGAAAAGACTTGAACTTCCCTGTCCTTGGATGGATTGGAAAGAGGATCCCATTTGGCCAAATAGGGGAAGACTTCAAAATTCTCTACATGTATGAGTTATTCTAGGTATATATGATAAAACCTGGTAATGAATGGTCCTGATCTTAATGTAGGTCAAGATCTATTGCTTTGTGAGGCTTTTAGAATTGCAGAGCAGTAAGCATAGGACTTTCAAAATATAGGGAACATGGGGCTGGGAGTGTGGCTCAGTGGTCGAGCATGTACTTAGAATGCATGAGGCTCTGGGTTCTGTCCCCAGATCTGTCTATATAAGTATAATGATTCTGTGGCAATTATATACGTATACATAGTCACCACATATGTATGTTTCTTGGTAAGGATCCCTTAATGATGAGTGTCATGGTTATTTTATTATTGACTAGGATTTACTGACATTAAATAACTCTGATATAATTCTGGATCATCCTACATTATTATCTTCTAACTTAGCAACTAGGAAAGTGTTCAGTGAGAGATTTATGATGGCAATGAAAAGTCAATAAAATCATAAGTTGAAAGAAACCAAGAATTGAAAAGTGTTGTCAGAACCTAATATATATAAATCTAATTAGCTACAAATTATTAATTCTACCAAAACAGGAAGTTGGAATACTATGTAGCCATTAAAAATTATTTTAGAGGAATAAGGTTGATCAAATTATGTTATATGCATGTACACATATGGCATAATGAATTCCATTATTATGTATAATACATTAATACAAAAATTTAGAACTTCTTATGGTAACATTTACCATAAAGACAGAAGATTGATGGCATTTCTTAGTTTTATTCATACCTTGTATCTTCATGACAACCTCTGCCTTCAGTTCAAGTGTTTAGTATATTTACACTTACTGTAATTTTGTTTTTGGTGGGAGGCAGTTGCTGAGAATTGAACCCAAGGGCACTCTGACACTGAACTACACCCCCACCATTTTTATTTTGAAATGGGATTTTGCTAAGTTGCTAAGCCTAGCCTTGAACTTCCGATCCTCTAGCCTTGACTTTCTGAGTATTTGGGATTATAGGTGCTTATCCCCCCCATTTTGTCTTTTTTTTTTTTTTTTAACATCTATTTATTGTTCCTCTGGTTCTTCTTTTGTTTCTTTTGAATTAAATATTTAAAATTTTACTTTAACTTGCTTTTTGGCTATACTTTTTGCATATTTTTAGTGATCTTTGTGTATTAAAATATATATTAAGGGGCTGGGGATGTGGCTTAAGCGGTAGCGTGCTCGCCTCGCATGCGTGCAGCCCGGGTTCGATCCTCAGCACCACATACAAATAAAGATGTTGTGTCTGCCGAAAACTAAAAAATAAATATTAAAAAAAATTCTCTCTCTCTCTCTCTTTAAAAAAATATATATTAACTATTCACAGTCCACTTAGAATTAATATTGCACATAAAATATAAGAACCTTGCAACTTTATGAGTCCATTTACATTTGTCAATTATAACTATATATATTTAAAACTATAACACATTTATGGACATGTAGTATGTTGCACATATTTAAATTAAATGTAACTTTGATGGTACATTTTGAAATGTTGTGTGCCCATGAAGCCATCACCACAACAAGACGAACAAATCCATTATTCCTAAAAGACTTTGTAATCCCTCCTTCATACCCTTCCTCGTTCCTACCCACTCTGCCTCCAGGTAATCCCAATCTGCTTTCTCTTGAAGTGGCTTGGACTATTCTCGAGT